TCATCTATAGAGAGGCTTCGCTCTCCATTAGTGGATAGAATATATGAAATAATGAAATGATAGATCATTCTAAGTATTAGGTGAGAATTATATATTTATAGCACATGTCAGGTTATAAAGCATTTTAATGTTAGTAGCAGCAGTAGTAATAACAATAGCTTACATTTCTGTAGGGGCTTAAGCATTTATAGAAATCTTTTACATACATTGTCTCATTTAATCATCCCCATATCCCTGTCATAGGAACTCTTAGTCAAAATGATCAGTTAATAGTTTAATACAACACTGTAGGAACAGTCACAAGGAAGTGCATAGACTCATAGAATCTTGGAGTTGGAAGAGACTTGAGGGGGTGTTTTGTCCAGATATTAAATGTTATGGCTGAATAGAGAAGGGTGAGAGAGAAAAATCTTCCCTTTTGCCTTTCAGGTATAGTTTAAACTTCAGTGCCTGGAATTGAAGGCCCACCACAATCTGGCATCTCTCTCTTTGTAACTTTCTCCTGTACTTATGTAATAATGTACGATATAGCCATCTTTTGGGGTTTCATTCCCTTACTGGAATGTGAGTTCCATGAGGCCAGGGATTTATATAAACTTTGTCATATATAAGCTTTATGCCTCAATAGGAGGTTCTATGTCCAGTAATGTTTAATAAATATCAAATTGTTGAGATTGAACAGAGTCAGTGTGTTATGATAGGAGTGTCTGATCTAAAGTTAGGAGAGGCCTGGGTTCAGATTCCAGCTTTCAAAGGCTACATGTTGTATAACTGCCCACTCAAGTCATAGGATCATAGTGGGCCCCAAGCAGTAGGCCAAATTTCCTACTTTCCTGAACCAGATTAAAATGTAATTGGGATATATAATAATAAATTAAATAAAAATAAATCAAAATATAATACAATATAGGTAATGTTCATTTGTGGTTTTCTAAGTCATTCTGCAGGGATCTGTTTCTATTTGACCTTTTTGGGGGGAGGGTTGGGCAGTGGGGGTTAAGTGACTTGCCCAGGGTCACACAGCTAGTAAGTGTTATGTGTCTGAGGCCAGATTTGAACTCAGGTTCTCCTGAATCCAGGGCTGGTGCTCTGTTCACTGTGCCACCTAGCTGCCCCCACTATTCGAGTTTTTGATACCACTGATCTAGTCCAATCTCTTCATTTTATAGATGAGAAAACTGAGGCCCAGACACGTCCTCTGACTCTAATTCATTGTTATTTCCATTGTTCCATGCTGCCTTCTTCCACCTCACCTCTAGGACCTTTAGTTTCCTCATGTGTAAAAAGGTTATAATGATTCTTGTATTACCTTGACTCTTAGTTATTATGAAGAAAGTGCTAGAGAAATGTTAGTCCTTGTTACAAAAGCATGAATAAATTAGGCTAGTGTGGTCCCTTGCTGCCTGAAACCTCACTCCTAGTAGAAAGTGAAAACTCCCTTTATCTGTCCATTCATTTCCAGACACCTCTGTCACACTATTCAAGATAGCTTTTGGCCCCCAATAAGGAGTTAATCCAGGCTCATTGCAGAGGCTGCTTAGCAAATCAATATGTGCTTGCTGTGATTAGCCCAGATTGATGTTTGGGAGCTCTAGGGGAGAGGAACTAATGCTGTCAGACAGACCTGATCTCGTTTGCAGAAGGGCACATTAATCACCGTGTACTTGGACAAGAGAAAGGTGCAGGATGCACCAGCAAAGCCTTTCTGCAGGTTGTGAACCCAACACAGAGAACGACCAAAGCCCATCTGGGTACATATCTAGAGGGAAAATATGCTGTGTCAAAAGGCCCCTGTGTATCTTTTTCATTATAAGCCAGGTGATTTCTATTTTTCCACCCGACTTCCAGAATCGCATTAATCTTAGAACTGGAAGGAGCTTCAAAAAGCTTCATCTTCTCTAGCACCTTCTTATCTCAGCCATGTTGGAAATGCAGCCATCACTCATGGGCTTGATCCACTGCTGATTGGCACGGGAGCTTTATCTGCTGCATTTCCAATCCGGGCTGGTTTGCCTCTCCTTAGGTGCCCTGGTAGCCCCCCATTCCCATGGACTCACCATATCGGTGCTGGTCTTGTTGTAGACACCAGATTGGCTTTAACCCTACTCTAGCTTAGAACCTCCAACCTCAGCCTCTCCAGGATTATAGCCATGATTTGACATTCTAGGCCTTCCACAAGGGTAAATTATGACAGAATAAGGAAATAGTGCCTGTGTTCTTCTCAAAGGAAACCAACTTCCAACCTAGGTAGAGATTCAAATGAAAAAAGAATTCTCAGGTGTGAAGAACCAGATTCCAGTCAATTCTGAATCATAAGGCAGTTCATAAGATTTGGTTCTAGAAAGGACTTTAGTGGTCACCTGGTATAACACCCTCATTTTCTAGAGGAGCAAACTGAGATCCCAGAGACTGAGCACGATACAGGAGGGTATTCTTTTTCAGTTGTTTTCGGTTGTGTCCAACTCTCCATGACCCCATTTGGGGTTTTCTTGGCAAAGATACTGGAGCAGTTTGCCATTTCCTTCTCCAGCTCACTTTACATTATTAGGGCCTCTCTCCCCATGGACATCCAGGGTGTCAGGGAATGAATTTTTTAGGCCCTACCTGGCAGCTCTCAAGGGGATACAATCTGTGTTGGTGCATGGACTGTCCATTCTCATGAAATCATGGATCTCCCAAGGAGCAAAGTAGGCCAGCAGGTAATCAGCAAAGGTAAGAGAGGCAGCCAAAGTAAGGTGAAAAGACCACTGGACTAGAATCAGAGGTTCCTGACTCTGCCACTTAGTAGAGTAGCTAAATAATTTGAGCAAGCCCGTTAACATCTCTGGGCCTCACTTTCTACATCTGTATGGACTAGATGACCTTTAAAGTATGATACTGAATTGTCTAATGGCCATTCTAGTTCTAATATTCTGTGCCCCAAGGTACCTTCTAGGCATGCCATTCTATGGATTTTTTTGGCATTCATACTTATTTTAAAATAAAATGTTATTGATATCTTTTGTTTTTATATCATCTATATTTCTCCTCTCCCCTTTTCAGGTAACAATCCCTTATGACAAAGAATAAAATGGAAGGGGGACAAACGGTTTAGCAAGATTAATGCTACTTTGAAAAAAGCTGACATTATTTGCAGTGTTCTACACCCATATCGGGCCAGCTAGGTGGCACAGTGGGTAGAGTACTAGGCTTGGAGTCAGGAAGATTGGAGCTCAAATCTGGTTTCAGACACTTAAGTAGCTGTGGGATCCTGGGCAAGTCACTTGACCCCTATTTGCCTCAGTTCCTCATCTGTAAAATGGGGGTGCAGCAGAGAAGGAAATGGCAAACCACCTCAGTATCTTTGCCAAGAAAACCCCATAGACAAAAGTCCATGGGGTCACATAGAGTCAGACATGACTGAATGACTCAACAACAATACAAACACATAGCCCTCTACCTCTGCAAAGCAGGTGTAGAAACACTTTTTCCTAATTCTTCTCCTCTGAAGAGGTGGGAAGTCTACTGGTGTGAATCACTGAATATACAGTGTGGTACAGAAGGCTTAATGTTGTCTTAATAGCTGAAAAGCCACAAAGCTAATGGCTTAAAACCACACTAAGACTTTCAGGACACTTGGTATCATCTCTGTAAATTACTGTCATTTTAATCCCATGCATTGTTAATTAACATTTGCATTTAATTTAAACTCCTATAGGATAGGAACCATTTCCTGTTATATCTTCCAGCTTGATATGTGGTAGGCACATGGTAAACTTCTTGAATTAATGAATCCTGAAAACAGTCACAAGAATATTAATCAAAAAAGTCATATAAATGAAAGCATTTTGACTTGAGTGCCTGTGACACTGGTACAGTCACAAATGGGCAAACTTCCTAAGAGGAAGATGGTGAACCCCACATTGGGTCTTGGAAACCCCAGATGCAGTTAGGGGTAGGTTTAACCATTGTCTCCATTGGTCATTTTCTGACCAGTTTGGAGGATCCGGAACCTAGTATTTCACAGAATCACAGACTTTCAGAGATAGAAAGACTTTTTCAGAAGGGAAAATCCTCACTGTGATACTCTATCAATTGTATATGAATAGGGATTGGATCTTTGATGTTATGGAACTCCCATGTGAGAAAACTCTAACCCCAAAGCTCTTAACCTGGGCTCTGTGAACTTTTTGTTTTAAAATATTTTGATGACTTTCAATATATTGGTTTCCTTTGTAAAATCCTATGTTTTATTTTATATATGTAAAAAAAACCAAACAAACATTAGTCTGAGAAAGGGTCTGTAGGCTTCACCAGACTTCCGAAGGGGTCCATGACACATAAAAAGATTAAGAGCCTTCTATGCGATGTTATAGTCTTAGGGAGTTACTTAGAGGACTGAGAGGTTAAGTGCTTTGCCCAGGGTCACACAGCCAGAATGTGTCAGAAGAGGGACTTGAACCCAGGTCTTCTTGGCTGTAAGGCCAGTTCTCTAGCTATAGTGCCATTCTGCCCCCCTGTCATTTATATACTTTACACTAATTGCTGGGAAAGTCACTTGAAGATCATTATGTTTCTGGGGCAGCTAGGTGGTACAGTGGATGGAGCGCTGGGCATGGAATCATGAAGACTCATCTTCATGAGTTCAAGTCTGGCCTCAGACACTTACTAGCGATGTGACCCTGGGTGAGTCACTTAGCTCTGTTTGACTATGTTTCCTCATCTGTAAAATGAGCTGGAAGATGAAATGGCAGACCACTCCAGGATCTTTGCCAAGAAAACCCTAAAGGGGGTCACGAAGAATCGGACATGACTGGACAACAACAAATTATGTTTCTGTGTAAGCTAAAGGGGAGTAGGGTTAACGTATAGTGCATCCAAATAGAGAACGACCCTCTACTTCATTGGGCTAGGGAAGCATCCTCATGTTGATAAGACCAAACCTAGGGCCACCTAGAGCATGTGTGATCAAAACTCTGACCAGTCCCCCCAAGCAAACTGTCTTCCTTCTCCCTCCACAGTGTCATCATGACCGGTGCCTACAATAACTTCTTCAGAATGTTTGACCGGAACACCAAGCGTGATGTCACCCTGGAGGCCTCCAGGGAGAGCAGCAAGCCCAGGGCCATCCTCAAGCCCCGCCGCGTCTGCGTGGGTGGCAAGCGCCGGAAAGATGACATCAGCGTGGACAGCTTGGACTTTACCAAGAAGATACTTCACACGGCCTGGCATCCCGCCGAGAACATCATTGCCATCGCAGCGACAAACAATCTTTACATATTCCAGGATAAAGTGAACTCAGAGATGCACTAGGTTTATCAGTAATCCTCTGTATTTATCAACCAGCCTTTTGCAGATTGTACAAGAACGTCAGAGAGAGAAACAGAGCAAAAGAAAAGTGGTTGTGATGGTGGCATTTGTCCTTCTCTGTCCCAGCTGCCCACCGCCACCTCACCCTCCCAACCCCCCAGAATTCCCCAAGATGATGCTGATGCTGATGGCCATTTAATAAAGCAGAAACCCAGAATTCACTGTAACTAAGGGGCAAAAGGTACTCCAGCAAGGTGATAGGCTTGTCAGTTTTTTTAACAGATAGGGTCCATTATACACTCTCTTCCTAGGTCTTTAGTGTTTACCACATTATTAGAGCTTTTTTACATCCACAAGTTAAGTTTCCACTTCAAGCTTCTCTCAGCATTTTGGTTCCTATACAGACTTAGCATGAGGGATGGAGAAACCTTGCTCCATCACTATGGCTCTGGAGACAGCTGGTGAACCCGAGACCAGCTCTTATGGTTGGCCTGGAAAGAACCCAGGTTCAAACGCTGGCCTTGCTATTTATTCACTATATGATCTTGGGCAAGTCACTTCTCTCTTTTTTTTTGGGGGGGGGAGCTCAGTTTCTTCCTCTATAAAATGGGAGGAAGTTTGACTGAATGATCTCTAAGGTCCTTTCCAGGTCTCATTGTTTTAGGACTAACATTCACTCTCTCTTTTTCTCCCACCCACCTCCCTCACGTCAAAAAGCAACTCTGCAAACATGTTTGCCAAGTTCATTCAGTTTTACTTTCCCCGCCTTAAATAATCCAGGTTTATTTCAGTTTTTGGAGGGAAAAAATGGTGATTTGTGATTGCTAGTGGTCCTTGAGACCTGACTTTAAGGTGACTTTTTCATCTCTGTAGAACATTTTTATGCATCCTGTGAGAGACAGAAGCAAATTCAATTTGACTTATGTCATACAGATCTCAGAAGGTGGCCTGTTAAAAGCATTGTCTTCCACGGCTGGTACAAGGAGTGGTAGAAAGAACCCTGGATGGGGAGAGAGATGACCTGGGTTAGATACTACCTCTGCTGTATGTTATCTTGGGCAAGTCATTCCATGTCCCTGAGCCTTAGTTTCCTGAGTGTGCAAAATGATGTAGTTAGACATGATGCACCCTAGGGCCTCTTCCTTCTCTAAATGGGATCATAAGGTTTTAGGACTGGAAGGGTTCTTAAGGGTCATCTAGTTTCCATTTTCCAGATGAAGAAAATTAGGCCCAAGGAAGAAAAATAACTTGCTCGATGAGGCCAATTGCAGGTAGTCCATGGCAGAGCTGGCATTCTCACTGAGGTCCTCTGTCTCCGCAGCCAGTGCTTGCTCATTGCCCCCACACCACGCTGCCTACGATCCCAAGTTTGCTCTGCCATTTTTAAAGGTTATGAGCTTTGCCCTCTATGTGCATGTGCCGCTCATTACCCAGTGGCTCATGTCCTTGGATGATTGAACTGCCTCTAAAAATTAAAATTTAAAAAAAAAGGCCCATTAAAAAAAAAATCTATTTTTGGGGGGGAGGGGAATAATTAACACAGCTAGGCCAAGAAAACAAATGGCAAATTTGTTCTTTAAGAGTATTTTACTGCACATATGGAGTTGAGAGCTCTAACTCTCCCAAAGTCAGCAAACACATTTGCAAACTGTGGCTGAGACAGATCACTGATTTCATGAGCCCATCTGTGTCTTAAAGCAAAACTCATCAGTCCCTTGAGAAAGTCCACATTCACCATTCCCCCATCAGCAAACAGAAGGTGAAGTGATCCTGTGGCATTTTGTATTTTGATTTAGAAAGCAGAGAAACATGACCACGGCTTACACAGATTACAAACAGGATCCAACTTTTTTTATAATGATGTCTTGATATGACCCAGGAAATATTGTCCAACTGAAGTTTTCTCGACCAATAACTATTTTTGTGTATTTCAAAGCACAAACGCATGTGCACCCACTTCCAGCCATACTATACAGACACTATGAAATGTGTACGTTACTTTTTTTTTTAGAATCAAAGGGAATGAGGAATGTTTGTTTATAAATCACTGTATACTCTAAATGACTTGGACAGTATTATATGTACATATTCTAATTAAATTTAACAATCAGAGGGTCGGTTTGGGGTTGGTTTTGTTTTGGTTTGGTTTTCCTTGTAAAAAGGTTTAAGAATGTGGTAAATTGTATAGAAATCTCATTAGATTCAAACTAAAGCTTTGAGGGCCTCACACAATTATTTGGACATTTTTCCATTTACCCATTTCCCCCTTTTGGCTCAAATAGCTAACAGCTTTTACTTGCATTTACTAAAAATACTGTCAAACCATATATTTAACTTTCAACATCTTCAAAGTATGAGTCTATAGATAAGGTATTATAAAGCAGGTCTTAACACAACAGTTATCATTTGGATTTCTTGTACCTTAATTCCCTTTTTTAAAATTTAGGTACAAAAAAAGCTCTTCTTTGAAGGAAAATGTGTCTCTGGAACTCTGGGAAATTCCTGATTTCCAGACAGAAGCATGCTCTCATCATGAGTCAAGTGCAGAAAGTGTTATAGGAGGGAAAAGAACTAGAGAAAAAAAAAAACATTAAGGACCAGTATGTTATTCATAAACTTTGCATTCTTACTGTGATTCAATTTTCTGGTCTTCTTGAGTGTATGAGAGGTAACATTGTCATTGTGAGGGTTTTTTTGTTTATTTTCTGGTTGGGTTTTTTTTTCCATTTTGTTTTTTAACAACTTTCTTTGGGGATTAAGCTTTCGGTGGTGTAGAGTAAGTGGTGGTCAAGTTGGTCAAGCTGATTGGAAAGCTGTAGTTCATGGCTGCATTCTTTCTTTGTGTTTCACAGACTAGCTAACTGTTGTTGGATAAAAATATAAATATGTTAATACCAGCTTTTTCCAATAAAAGGACAACAAAAATGACAGACACAAAGGACTCCAAAGTGTTCTTCTTTTCTGCCTACAGACTGTATGGGAAAGGAGAAGGATTCAACTCAATTTCATTCATCCACCATTAAGTGTCTGCTCCATACTAAGCGCTGTGCTGGATACTGAGGATAGAAACCAAAAAAACCAACAACAACAAAAAAAAGGAGAGCCTGTCCTCATTTGTCTGATTTAGCCTAGCAACCCAAATTAATGAACACTACTGTCTGGAGTGGCTTCCCATGGTGGGGGGCATTACCTAAGAGTTTGGGAAGCAAGTCCCTGGTATATTGAAACAAGCCTTCCTGCGCTGGGGAGGCCAGTGTTACCGTAATCAGTATCTAATCTCTCCTGCTGAAAAAGCAGCAGCTGCTGCCAATAATCCTGAGATGGGCACCAGTCTTTCTTCCTTCCTGAGAATGCCGAAAAGACCCTGGGAGTTAGATCAGGCTTCTGAGCTAGTGTGATACTGGTGTTAGGAAGGGCAAGAATGCCTGGTCAAACCTCTAGCAGAGCAGGACGGTTCTGGGGAGTCTGGTTACCTGGATGACTTTCCATATGTGTCTGGGTTTATGTTTGGTGTTTGTGTGTGCCTGTGTATGTGTAAACATTGTGCTTACCACAAGCCATTGGAGATCTGTACATGCAATGGATTGTACAAATGTCATCCACCAAAGGGCTTGGCCAGTGATCACACTGGGCCACAAAGTCACCGACAATGGGATCTTTTATACAGTCTCTTCTGAACCCTTTCCTATTTGGAAACCCAGAGTTTCAAGGAGCCTTCAGATCAAAGTCCAAGAAATGCTGCCAGCCAGGATTCTGACATGGTGATAGCTAAGACCTTTCTGAATATAATAGCATGAAGCCCGGCCTAGGGGAAATGCAAAGTTTGGACATGGTCTCTCCTGTCATGGAATTCACAGTCAGGGAATGCGGTGCACACAGGAGAATTCGACCCCAGGCAAATATAATATGTGATATTATATAAATAATAAGTTCTTCAGAGAGACAAGAGAAAGTGAAGTATGAAGTCTAGGGGGAGATTATTACTGAACTGAGATCAAAAGAGGTTTTAGTCAGAGGTGGCATTAGAGTTGGACTGTGGAGAATGGGTAGGAATTTTGTAGCAGACTGTGAAGTAGAGGGGGAAGGGTATACCAGGCAGGGAATGGTGTGAACAAAGGTGCAGAGGAGAGAGAGAGAGAGAAAGAAAAAACAAGGCCTGTTCTGTTGACAGAGAGTACTATTCATTCGAGGCTTTGCCCTAGTTTGTTGTACTCAATGAGTCGAATGCACCTGTGAGTTTAGAATTATTAGGAGACACCCAATTTCTCTAATGGTTGCCCTTGTGGAAGAAAATCCTTTAGAATGGGAGGCAGCTGTTCATGATGGCCGTCCTGGAAGTCTAGGAATCCCTAACCCTGACTCAGTAACCAACCATTTGGAAGGTCACTTTGACCTTGTTGCTCCTCATTGGCTTCATATTTTTCTACCTGTATGCACTTTACCACCTATTTCTAGATGAATGATGATAATAAAAATTGCTCTCATATGTGCAGGGATTTAGGGTTACCAAATATTTCTAGTTTAGTACGAAAAGCACTGGATTTGGAGTCAGGGGACTTGGATTCAAATCTCTAATCAGACATTTATCAGATATAATACCTTGGATAAGTCACTCCTCCTCCCCAGACTTCTGTTTCTTGAACTGTAAAATGAGAGGGTCTCAAAAAACCTTCATAATCCTTCTTGTTCTAAATCCTGATACATGGTATGGCAATTAAAAAAGTTTGAGAGACAGAATTTCTGGATAATTTAATAATTTTATTAATAATGCCAACACATTTGTTAATAAAAGGGTAATCATTTGGTTGTCTTTCTTAGGCCAAAGACAAACGTGGCAGTGGGCTCACAGTTTATATCCCCTTCAAAGAGTACGTGTTTCCTGGGGTGGGAATCAACCCTGATTGGTTAACAATGAGAGAATGAAGAGTGACACTTCACCCTCAGAGACCGAGACCTTAGCAATACCCAGATCACCCCAGCCTTGGGCAATTTAGACAAAAGTGTCTGTCTCCACCCAAGCTTGATTGAATGGAATTCACCTTAGACTAGAGATTGCTTGTAAGGTTGGGTGGGATTGGATAGAGGAGAAGGTGAAGTCAACCTTCAGAGACTGAGGTCCTGAAAATAGAAAAAGGGGGAACTCTGGATCTCCCCAAATCATTAGTTATTAATAATCATTTCTCTCAATAGCAGACACTTAGTAAATGCTTGTTTCCTTGCCTTGCATATGTTCTAAAGATAAGAGCAATAGCTGATATATGTAAATATGTTAAGCATAGCTTGATTTACAAGTTGCTCTGCATTATCTTGAGACTGGCCTGCCCAAAGCCCAAACAAATTGGGATTCCATTCATATTGTTAGAAATAAGGCCTTAGAAATATAAAGCCTTTTGGTTAAAAATGAAACTAAGCAGGAGTGAGTGAAGAATCATTTATTAAAGTCCTAGGAAGACCACCCGGCATATCACTTGGAAGAAATAGCACTGATTACAGACAGGAGAAAATGTTTTATACTGTTAGAAAGCCAGGACACATCCCTTCCAGGCCTGGATTGGACTCTTCCTTTCCAGGTTACAATCTTACACATCCACCCATCTCATGTCCCCTCTACATCCCCCCTCCCCCCATCTCTCATCATCCAAAAGCCATGCCCTTTGTCCTACTTAGGGCTAGTTAAAGCTGGCTCTGCCCTCTAGAACTTTGGGGCCCTTCTCATTGGCTTGCCCTTTCTAGGTTTTGCAAGCTTGTTAAAACAATGTAAACTGTTTTTACCAAATTCTTTGCTGATGTTATAAGATGTTAAAGGTTATCTTAAGTTGTGGGAGCAGGATACCTTGTCCCTTAAGATATGGTGAGATTGTTCAGATTCTTCTGTTTGCAGATAGATGACTTTGTTCTGATTCCCAAAATCCTAGATGGGGTCCTAGATGCAGCCAAAATTAGAAGAAAAGCAGGAAACTGATGAAAAACGTTTTTATGACCAGTTTCCTTTAAAAGGAAACCACAGGGTCCTCAGTCCCTTCTTAGTGGGACCTATAACCACTCAAGAGATCAGTCTAACAATCCAGAAAAGAAAAACCCCTAAATAATCTAAACTGTGACATTCAGCTGGACAGGCAGCTGATTATAAGTCTGGGCCAATAGTACACGTGTTTTGGACAGACACTGTAGGTGATCCATGAGCTACGCCCAGAATTGAATAGAAGAGATTGAACTGCATTTGGGAAACTGTGCAGTGCTTTCAATGTTCTTAAGGTGCTCTACACTCCCAAATCCCCCCACATCACCACCACCACCAAAACCCAGTATCTTTTTAATATCAGCATTTTCTTAGTCATACAAATCATGGGTCTTCTTGTAAGACAAAGGTGAAGGAGATAGTGGGGGAAGGGCATCTGAGTGATATGAGATGAGGAGGAGGGGATAAGAGGGACCTCTCTGTGAATGACTTTTTTTTTTAAATTTTCAGCAAAGCAAGGTTCTTAGCTGAGGGGGTGAGGGAAAGGAAGCCATGTGAAGTTTGAGAAGGAATTAAAAGGTTTGAAAATGCTATAGTGGTAAATGGAATAGTAAGCTAATTGGGAAGGTATAAGAAGATTGTCTTGCCCAAGCAAGGGCCCAGGTGAGATAACATAAATTTGTAGTGGACAGAGTAAACCCCACTTTGTGGTCTTCTCCAGTTCCATTCGACAGCATGCACATAGGAGCAAAAGCAAGAGTTGCAGGTAGGAGGCGAGGGGAGCAATCCAAGGTTGGGCCTTGGCAGGGCATGATCATCAATGAGCTAAGGACAAGGGACTCAAGGTAGAGGATAGTGTAGATTTGGACTGGTTCACTGAACAGTCAAGATGGGGAAGGGAGAAGAGTGTAACCTGTCCAAGGGTGATGGTCTAAGAAAGCCTTGAGGAGCTGAGGGATTGGTGTTCTCAATGAAGATGAACAGGATTGGGAATTGTAAGGTAGAGGGAAAGATGGGATGATAAAAGGTTATAATCGGACAAAGGCATTTCCCAGTTCATCACCATGGACGTGAACTACTCATGGATGATGGCAAGATCAAGAGTGTGACTGTCTCTGAGTAGAGCTTAGGTAAAGTGGAGGAGTAGGTCATGGGAAATGAGTAAGATGATCAACTGGGGAGGTAGGATATTTGAGACAGGATCCATACATGTGTGTTAGAAGTTCACAAGCATAAATCAAGACTTAAGTCCTTTGGCTCCATCAGGAAAAAAATGGTGCCCCAGAGAAAAAAACATCAGAAACTGCAGAATAAGCTTTGCTCCTTCCTTCCCCACCAGAGCCTCATATGGGTCCCATCTCTTTATAGGTATAAAGAGCCCACCTCAAATGCTACCTTCTCCATGAAGCTTTCCCTGTCCCATTGCATCTTCCACTAAATCATAAGCTGCATTAGGCCAAGGACTGTCTATCTCTCATCTACATGCTGTACATACTCCATTGCTGTACACAGCAGGTGTTTAATGTTTGTTGAATGGATTACCAAATTCTGAATTCCTGATCAGAATAAAAAAGATCTCCAGTTTGCTCATAGATTTGCCTCTAGAGTTAACCCCACCTGTCATCCTAGAGGAAATGAGAACAGAGATTTTATTTTATTAAAAAAAAATTTTTTTTATCTTGATAGTTTCATGTGGATTAAGCTCGTTTTCTGGGAAATGAAGAGATCTCTATGTTCTGTGCAATACTTTTTGGCTAGTTTCTGATGTTTTGAATTGCATATTAATTATGTGATTGAGAACACACCAGTTTGGCCAGAGTGACCTGGAGGAAAAACTGTTGCTTAATGAGAGAAGTTAAGTAGTTTGAAGGAGCAGTGTCACCTTTTTCTGGTCGTCATGTTCCTCATCTGTAAAATGGGGATAATTGCACTAGACATAAGGGTCTTCCCAGCTCTACCATGCTCTATCCTCTTC